TCTGTCTGGGGTCCAGATGCTGAAGAGTTTAAACCTGAACGGTGGATCGACCCAGCTACGGGGAAAATAGTGGCTGTGTCGGCGTTCAAATTTTCTGCGTTCTACGGTGGACCCCATGCGTGTTTGGGGATGAAGTTTGCTATGTCCGAGATCAAAATCACTCTTGCCGCCCTACTAAGTCGCTACAATTTCAAGACATCGAAAGACCCCTTTGACTATACCTACCGAATGGCTTTGTCGCTGAGAATTGATGGGGGACTCGACGTCGCTGTAACTCGCCTGGAGTGAATTGATATCAGATAAACATTTTATCGTTCGAAGAAGCTATTTTTTAAACTTGAATTGAATGAAACATTCAATTGCTAAGGTCTCAATATGAGCCATTTATGGGCACTCGCACTCGCAGTTCTCCGAGAACTCCTTCCCGTTCGGGTCTTCTGGCACGTTTAGCGTCGGGTTGCGGTCAAAAAAACCATCCGGCCGGAAGCTGAAGCCGGTGTAGTCCACTGGCATGATCGGCCAGTCCTCGACACGAGGAAAGTGCGTCAGACCGAAGGTGTGCCACACGACAATGTCTTCGCCATCAACCGGTCGATTGGCCTTGGCGTACGCTGGTAGACCAGAGTACCCAGGGTGCTGGTTGGGCGTGTAGCCAGCAGCCCACATCTCATCACGGGCGTACTGGGTTACCCACAAGTGCTTCTTGGCGTACTGTGCACGCTTGGAGATTGAACTCTCGTCTGCAGCCAATAGCAATGGAGCACCTTCCGGGTACAGGATGTAACCCGTAGGTTTTCCAAGGCGATTGAGCTTCTCACTGGAGGCTATCAACCAAGTACGTCCAAGCTTGTTATCAGCTTCACGTTGAGCGTCACTCTCACGCTCTAGACGCGTAGCCAAACGCTTGAAAGCATTGCCCACGGGGTTTGCAGGACTGATCGGTAGACGCTGCACCTCGAGCTCATCAACATGGCACTTGTTGCCATCGATCGCCACATCCAGACGAGCTGAAAACAGGTGCTGGTGACACGGGGCTCCAAGACGTGGGGCCATCTCAGTCGCGAACTCGTAATCGCCTTCAGGACGTCCAGAAGAGAAGACAATACCAGTAGCCTTGCATTCGAGCTCGATTTTGCCATCCAGGTAGAAGCACCAGTAGAAGCCGTAATCGTAGTTACCGACCGTCACGAAGAACGAGATGACTAAACGACGTTGACGACGGACTGTTCCTTGGTTTGTGTAAATGTCCGTGTGCTTCCAGAGCGTACCAAAGTCTTCTTCGTGGATGCAGATGGCGTTCTTGAGCAGCACAGGCTCGCCAAAGTCGTTAACAACCGTCGCGTCAAGGTACTGGATCTTACCAAGACAGTCGCATCCGAGCACGAGGCAGTTGGCTAGACGACCAAATTGGTATTCACCGGCGTCAAAGTAGTTCTGCCACTCATGGGTAGGCTGGGGTTCACCGTAGGGCACCACCATCTCGGAAATCGCAGCCCGGTTGAGAATTGGACGCTTAGATCCGCGGTCGTTAAAGGAGATATCGTGTAGTGTGAGACCTTCACGTCCGTTGAAGCCGATACGAACTTCCCAGTTCAGCCAATTGAGCACGTTGTTCTCGACCGTGAAGCTCGCACCTTCAGGTTGCGTGATACGCAGGGGCTTCATGTCCGTACGCACTGGTCCGGACAACTTAGGGTCGAGATAGTCACCCGATTCGGTCGGGATATGGTCGTAGCCCGTGTCAATCAAGCGGACCACACGCTCACTAGTGAGATCGACGTGGGCGACGATACCATCCACAGGGTGGGCGAACATTGAGTGCGTATTTTCCGTGGACAAGAAGCTCAACACACGGATCATACGGCGGTTGACCTCGTCCTCGTAGCCGAACACACCCGCTGATAGCGGGAGGTGCTGAACTGTACTGAGGTCGGTGATGCCGCGCTTGGCCAGAGCAGCCACGTAGCGTGGGTCGGCCATGGTGATGGTCCCAGCAGCGACGTAGTCTTCGTCTAAGATGGGACCCCAGCCATCGATTGCAGGAGTAAGTTGGCGGTTGTGAATGACCATGTGAGCGGGAATGTCCACGACCACCTCACGCGCCACGTTGCTCGCTTTATCCAGCACGAGCACGCCGATCTCACGAGGAATATCGTCACCAGTCTTCCAGGCGCCCAGCGTCTTGTGGTCTGGTTCACGCAGCATCACGTACGAGTAGCGGAAGTTGGGACCTTCGTATCCGGCCTCACCGACAATCTGCTTCATGCTCTGCACCTCCTTGGCAGTGAGAGGATCAAGCGGATGGACGACGGTATCCTTGAGGTCGGGTGTCTTTGCGTGCGAACACATCTGGAATTGTTGGAAGGAGTGCGCGGTAAACGGAGAATTTGAAAGTGACTTCCAGACCGATGGAAAAGGACACCTATAGTCGCACCTTGAAGCGCAGCGGACCAACAAGTACTAGTACTTCAAAGTACATCTAAGTGGAGATTTGATGAAGGCTCATCCCGTGAGGCTCGCAGGTAGCCGAACTGTTGGCATCCCAATTAGCATCAACGTAGATTACCAGTTCTAGAGCAGAGTACCATCATCCGTAGCATGCACCGAATGTCCAAACCGGTCGCGCATTGGAGACTCAAGTTGAGTGCGGCACAATGCGACTGGTACGGCACCAAGGTGAGACCGTCAAGGTGACGCGGCGCAGGCAGGTTCCGGTGGGCAAAGTTATAGGCCTCACCGGCAGTGACTCGTTCGTCGTCACTGATGAGGAGATCAAGTTCCATAGGATTACCAGGCACCGGAAGCGTACCACAATCATGCGGAGGACACGGCGAAGGACACTTTCAGCAGTCGGTTTGCATCCATAGGCTCGACTAGCACTGACGAGGGCAACGGCGGTGCTGCAGAACCGGGAACGATTGAGCAGAGCCGCTGCGATGCTGGTCACGTTGAAGTTGCTCTTTTCGGACTTCAATGCACGGACAGGATGCTGGAAACTCCAGTGGACTCACCAACGAGTCGTTAGCAACTAATTGCTACAAGGTTTCCGTACGGCAGACGTCGAAGCTAGCCTTCTTCAATACACTACCAGGACTTGTTGCGTACCATCAACTTTCCGCCAGGTTATCACAAATGTCGTTTATGCAAATGTCGTTTATGTATTTACGCGGCAGCATAGCAACGTGCGCGTAAACGGAAGCTTTATTGGTTGGTTCTTTGCGATCGCATTGCTAAACGCTTTTGCTGACAAGGCCCGACGTCGTGGTCTCTATTTGGTGACATTTGAGATACAAAATTAGAATTTTTGTCGGATATCGTGCCAGTAGCTCTGAATGAGATTGTTTCTCAAGGAAAATGACTCCATAAAAAAACAGGGACAGCTCTCTAAAACCAACCAAGCATTCTGTGTTTAATTTGTTTGTATTGTGTAATATTAATCAAACATCAGTATGAGATCAAAAGCAGCAGTTCGCGAATGGGTCAAGCGCCTGCCGAGTCAAATTGTGCTCAATGTTTGTGGATCGGCTTGAGCTGCAAGATGATTTGAGGTATTCACGCACGTCATAGCCAACCTTCATGACAAACTGCTCCAATTAGAGACACAGAAGACGAACTAGTGAATTGAGCTTAGTCATGGATGAATTTCATCGCAGCCCTTGTCGTACCAATCGTCGTGTGGGCAATTCCAATCAAAAAGTGCTGCTGACACCGAAGCCCATCAACATATCTGTTGTCTTTTGGCACTCTCAAGTCGGTGACGCAGTTTGAGTCGCCAATCGGATATCGTCTGCTCTGGGCTCCCTGCCAAAACAGCCCATATAATACTTTGTGACGCACTGCGACGCTCACTACCTCACACTCGAAGTCGCTACCACGAAATCTCAACCGGCAACCAGAACGTGTTCATGTTGTTAAACGACCCCGTACTCGTTAAGTCTTGCCCCGCCACAGCCCTGCAATATTATCTTATCATCGCGCTCGTTCTTGCGCCTCTCACTTTCCAACTTGTCACCGATCGCTTCGACGTCTTCTTCACAATGTCATCGGTCCCTGTAAGTCCAACCGTCGACGGTCTCCTCACTACAGAAAACGAGAACCACCGGTATGCGAAGACGCCTCACTTGTGGGCCCTCGGTGTCGGCACCGTCATCGGTGGCGAATTTTACGGTTGGCAATCTTCACTGATCGCCGGCTTCGACGGTCTCCTCATCATTTTGGTTTTCGTGACGATCCTCTACACGCTGTTGACATTCTCGATCGCTGAAATGTCAGCCTCAATCCCTTCGGGGGGAGGACCCTACGTATTCTCACTACATGGTATCGGCCCCAAAGCTGCCTATTTCGCTGGATTAGCTGAAATAGTTAAGGTCACTGCCACAGTTGCAACCACATTTTACAGCATCTTCCTGTACTTGGACGCTCTTTTCGGCCTGGACACCAACTACGGGCCGCTGTGGTGGATCGGCTTAAACGTTCTTTTCATCTCACTCAACATAATGGGTGTTGAAGCCACCTTCCGTGCGCAGGTGTTTGCAACCTTGCTATCGACAGCAATGCTAGTTATCTTTTACGTTGGCGCGTTCACTAAACTTGACTACAAAACTTGGGTTGTGGATCAAAATTGGGAGTGGACAAATTGGAGTGCCTCGATTCAGGGTATTTCGTTCGCACTATGGTTCTACTTCGGCATAGAAGAACTGCCGCTTGCTGTTGATGAGACCATCCAGCCCGAGAAGAATATCCCGCGTGGTATCATGTGGTCCATGGCCACGCTAATAATTCTAGCTGTCCTGACCCTTGTCTGCAGCTCACTAATCTACCCAGGTGCCGCCATCGTTTTCGAGTCAACAGCTCCGTTGGTAGAGGGATACAAAAGCGTCTTCGGCGGCAATGGAACCACTTCTGGGTTTATATGGCTCACAGTGATCGGTATCATTTCCAGCACTCATTCGTTCGTATATTGTATGAGCCGTTTGCTCTACGCGATCGCGTGCGATGGATATCTACCACAGTTTCTCACGAAGGTGCACCCGACGCGTGGTTCAGCCTACGCTGCTCTTATCACTGGTGGTGTTGCGAACCAGGTCCTCGCTATTAGTCTCTTCTACATCGTCGGAATTATGGACTTGGGCGGAGTGCTCATTAACCTCGCGTTGTTTGGTGCACTCATTTCGTACTCGTTCCAGTTGGTGTCGTTCATCATGCTTCGAATCAACCAACCAGATCGGCCTCGACCCTATCGCAGCCCATTCGGCATTGCAGGAGCTGTGGTTTGTCTCGTACTCTGTGCGGTGTGCTTCGCTGCCATCATCTACAGCGGCACTTCGAGTAACAATTTCCTCATTGCTGTTATCACTGCGGTGATCTTGTTCGCGGTCGGCACGGGCTATTATTTCAAGTCGGTGTTACCGCGTCTGAAGAGCGAAAAGTTTACTCAACTCTCGCCCAGGCCGTCCAAGAGCCTGCGTCAAAACCTCATCAGCATCCAGAGTAATGTGTAATTTGACTACAGTACGTTGCTAGCCGAATGTTTCGTCGTTAAATTAATAGCACTCATTCGCAATACTACTTGCTGTAGTCGTCCAGAAATTAGAGTATGCAGCACCAGCACCAGCACCAGCAAGAGGTATCATCTTCAAAATTTTAGAAGAAAAATCATAGACTTCTAAAAAAGAAATGCACTCCTCTCCCGCGTCATAAATCTGTTATATATAGCAAGAATTTTTATGCGTTTCTTCTGTTGGTACTTATACGAGTGATTGCGGTAGTATCTATTATGGTACATGTACACACCAAGTCAATTTAGCTTCAAGAAGACAAAGGTCACCTCGGGTCGCAGTGACACCGCCTTGGCAGGAGGAGAAATGGAGCTTGACGAGGAGGCGAAAGAGGATTTCGAGAAGCATGGTTTAGGTGGGGAGGATCTTGACGCTCAGATCGAAGCTGTGAAGAGCAATATTATTGGCAGTAAGACGGCCACGATGTACTTGCGTGGCATGAGCCGCTATATAGCGTGGCTGTACACCTATAAACGCAATGTCTTGAGTGGAGAGCTGCTAATGCACTGCGGGATGATGACTTCGAACACGATGAAACAGGCTACTTGTCACTAAAAGTTAACGGAGTACTTCGCTTTATCCGTGAAAACGCAAAGGTCCCATTAATTCAGTACGAACAGCATCGACCTACTAATTTTGAGGGGTTCTTACTGTCATTAAAGAGTCGAAATGGAGGAAAATCTGGTATATCGGTGTACAACTCGTTCCGATCAGCGCTGTTTCATTTGTTTCGTGGGTACGGGCGCTCAATGGATGTGGACTTTACAGCAGATGTGACGTTGTTTTTTTAAGGGTTTAAAGAGGGAGACAGCTAAACGGAACCATGATGCTGGTGAAAAACTGACTGAAAGAAAAGATCCTCTACCTTTTTCTATGCTTCGTTCGTCGAGTGTGTCAATGATGGAGCACGAAAGTGGCGTTTTTGCGCATTTCGTTTTGGTTATTACCTGGAATCTAATGTGCAGGGCTGGTAACACAGCATCCATTCACGCTGGATATTTGAGTTGGGAAGGAGATGCTTTAGCCGTTCGGTTTGGACACATGAAAAATGACCAGGATGGAACACGTCCTCGAGACGCCCGACACATACACGCCAATCCGTTTAATCCGGAGATATGTTTTAATCTCTCGCTAGGTATTTACGCCGCCGTTTGCGGCTTAGATGACTCGTCAACGTGCTGCCAGAACTTCCTATTAGCAACGTTACTGCAAAGAATCGACAGCGCCGCAAACAACAGCTCAAATGGTCCAGTGTACTGCAAGAAATTCTGAAAATCGCCGTAGAGTTAATAATTAGCCAGTATTTTCTTCAACTTATTAGTTTCAGTGTGTACAAACCTGGTATGCGCTTACAAGGATATTATATTCGTTAGATCTTGCCTTTCACGACGCTGTTGTTCATTAATGCTTTTGGTGAGGTTAACAAAGTCTGTTGAGTAGTTTCTGCGCCAGACGCAGACAAATTCGTAACAACTGTTGATTGCCCCCTAATATAAAGCGGTTTGTAAAGAAGCATTTTTGGCTACATGAACTTGTATGCGTCAGAAGCCGAAGAAAACGCAGAAGTTTTGACACAAATCAATAGAATGACGCATACAAGTTTAGGAGAATTATGTGTAAATTCCAACTTCACAAAAAAAAAACTGCGAAGTATTTCTTAGAATTAAGCTTTGGAGTTTCTTTAATAAAAAAACAAATACCATCATAGACAAAATCATTTGGTGCATCTTTAAAGCATGTGTTGCAGTTGTTTTACAACGAATTATGTATTAATAAGCGCGTGCTGGGTACAAAACCAACCGTCAAATTAACATAGGATCGCGCAAATTCAAACTATGCAAATACTAGAAACTAGATAACCGGGGCGTCAGTTTCGATCGATCGATCTGACTCAGAGATCTGAAAAAATAAATTGGCCGGCATTTTTAGCTCCATCTGTAAATCTCGGCATGGATTGCAGGTCTTCACACAGTATGATTTTGCAATATCACATATACTCGCAATATCGCATTTCAAGCAATATAAAATTTCAAATTAAAGCCATGCACCATCCATGTTGGTGCGCTGCGCGAATTCAAGACGACAGCTTACTTTCCCTCTCCGTCACGATGACAAGCTAAATCCGATACTGCGCTCGTCATCTCCGCAACGATGGTATCTCGCCCTGATGGTCAGTTACATGCTTTAGCCTATGTTGTATTCAGATGCGGATCTTCATACCACCCATCCCTATGTTTGGCAATCATCCGTCCAGTCATTATCTTTTTTATATCGGTTTCTGCACTACCAAACTGTTGAAAAATGGTGAAGCGACTTAAAATGACGCATATCACTACTTACTTCTCGAAGCGACCACGTGACGACGTTGTCGGTGGTGAAGGCGAACTGACAGCACCTGCATACCAGGCATTGGACCAGCGTGAAAGTGCTGGAGTAATATGGTGCATAAAATGTGTCTCGATTAACGTAATCGGCTGTACTATTAGTGACGTTTTAAAACATGATCCAGCCGACCCCCCCCCCCTCGGAATCTTTTCTGCACAAAGCAACTATTTCTAATACCTGAGCTTTTGAGACAAGTGGTACGTGCCTACGTATACCAAGATCCCTTTCAACCCCGACAAAAAGGCTACGAGGCAAGGGTTGTTTGGGAAAGAATCAAGGTCTTTTCAGTTTAGCTGGTTTGAACGTTATCCTTACCCTGAATATTCACCCAAGACAAATGCAGCATACTACCTCTGCTGTTATTTGTGCAGAGAAACAATGATGGCCGCAAGAGAATTATCTGTTTTGCTCAACCTTCCGTCGGCTATTACAACTGAAAAAAAATTGTCAAATACAGGTTTCTCGGAGCACATTTGAGATAGATGCTCAAAGCACAAAAATACAGAACTGCCATTCGATAACTGGTTGCAGACAAAACAGGACATGAGGCTGGCTTTACAACAACAAACATCTGCTGAATGTTAGTTTAATACGACACGGATGACGACGATATTAGATATTTGTCTGTTGCTGGCACGTCAAAATTTGTCATTTCGAGCTCACGATGAGAGGGTAATTTCACAAATATTTTATTTTGTGTTTCCACCTTCTATTTCTAGTATTAATTTTTACTTTACAGGAAAACTCGACGAACAAGGACAACTTTCTTGAAATTGTGAAATTATCGGCAGCAAATGTTCCCAAATGTGGCCAACAAATTGGCAGAAGCAGGATACAGCACTAGTATACAGCTCCTACTGTACAGCAACAACTTATTGAATGCGCTGCTAACTCAGTCCGCCAGCACATTTTAAAAAATGAGGTTGGGTTCTTTTCTGTGCTGCAGGGTTCGTGCTTTACTCCGAATTTAATGGCTATGGTTCTGGGTGATGTCTCGATCAACGGTTTTAGGTTGAAAACAAGAGGAGGCATTTGAAATTAATTAATCGGATGTGGAATTTTAATTTTTTTTCTTGTCGAAGTTTCAATTGCTATATTGGAGAAAGCAAATACGCTTTCGGTTTATCTCCAGAAGAAGGACATGGATATAGTATCAGCCGCTCGTCTCGTTGACCAAACTCTCAAGGAATTATACAAATGCGTGATATTTCCTTTTTTGATGACGACTCAAGTTTTCATTCGACTTGGGATAGAGCTGTCCGGTTCTGTGAAATGATAACGGGAGATAAGGAGGAATCTCTTACCCCTGACAAAAATGGCATATGGTCAAGACGAGGCTTACGTAGTAGAGGTAAGTGTAAGACGAGAATTCCCGGTGCTGACACATCCCGGGCAACTTCAACTGTTACTCATGAAGATCACTATGTGTATTTGTCAATTTTAAATGACATTGTACATGTGTTGGAATCGCGATTTGGCGGTGCCATGATTCAGCTAATGGAAGTGTGTAGAAGTATTTCTCCCCGTAATGGTTGTAAGTGCTGGGACTCTGATGATAAAAAGCGAATAGCACTTGAATTTTATCCTGAAGAACATGAAAATGTTATCGACAACTTATGCAATGAGGCAAAGCCATTCGGTCAGCTAACTAAAACAGATACATGAAGACACTCGAAGGTCTCAGCGTGACGATGGTCAGTCATGACATGGACTCAATTTTTTCTACCTTGTATCGACTGGTGTGTTCTTTTAGTTTCGAGACAGGAACAGAACGATCATTTTCCGCTATGAAGCGAGTTAACACACGCTTGATAATGCCTTTAGGTCATGAGTGGCTGTGAAACTTGCTTTTACTAACTCTAAAGAGAGATTTTACCAAGAATACTGACAAAGACGCCGTTATAGATGCCTTTAGGCCCACGGCAGATCGTCGTATGGCTTTTTAAGCTAGTAATTTAGACTTTATTTTGCCTCCCCCCATAAAATTGGCCCAACATCCACCCTTGGTTGTATTTTCTTGTGTTGTCCCGAGCTATCCGCCTCTACTACTGACGATATTTTTATTTAGCAAAGGATCACAATATGTATTGCGCTTCGTTCTGAAATACAGTATTGCAATATCGCCTGCTGCCACAGTATGGACTGCCGTTTTCTCTACCCCAACAATACGGTGTTGAAGTGCTCAAAAAAGTAGTGCAATGGAGGCCTTCAGAAAATGACTCAAAACGCAAACGTTCAGCTCGCTAAAGCAGTAGCAAATTCAAGGGTTAAGTAACGCAATATCAATCGCAATTTGCCATACCGGATTTTGCGTCTCTGCAAATTGCGACGAGGTAAACACAGTTAGCGCCCGGGGCACAGTACCGCAAAACCAACCAAACAGGACTGGATAGCATGAGCCGCTGCCAGACTCTACATAAAGGCAAACAACACAAATTCATCCGCTACAATGGCGCGAGGAAAAGGCTGGACCACGCCTGAAACCCTCTACATGCTTGGGCTGGTGGAGAAGATCCTGCCGTTTGGCTCGAACCAGTGGAATGCAGTAGAGCTACCGTACAACACTAAACTACCCGATGGCTTCCCTGTACGCGATGCGGAGTCCATCAAACGCAAGTTCTACGCACTCAAGAATACGCGCAAGCCGTCGGGAGATTCGGCGTGCCCGGCCGACGTTGCTCAAGCCAAACGCTTATATCGTCGGATCGAAGGGAATTGTGGCGTAATAGTGTTGGACGATACTGCCCCGTCTGTCGAGGCTTCGGCTAGAAGTTCCGCCCCATCAAACAGTACTTCGCAGTATGAGGCAACATCTAATGCTGAAGAAGCACAAGCGCTGCAAGTGCAGAGCCAGCCTGCGTCTGGCCGATTGCATCCACTGTCAGTGGCGAAGTTAACAAGGTACAGTATCACAGTGCATAAATATTGCGAAGTATCACACTAAAATCAAAAGTAAATATGATATATTGACAGAGATTGCTTGACGTGCCTGTTGCCGGGATATTTCGCACCTGAATGACAGCGGAAGAGCTGGAGCATGCAAGGAAAGGAACTGCAAACTGGATCTAAGGATCTACTGTCAGAATCGGCTAAGAAACAACGCAGTATTGATCGCCTGCTTGAAAACCTAAAGTCAGACGACAGCGCGGATTGGTGCACCGCTATTATTGCCATGGAGGAGCGTGCCGCCGCTCGAGAGATGGATTATCGCCGAGAGCTTGACGCACAGCGTCGTGCGGATGAAGAACGCCGAGACCAACAAGAAGCACGTCGTGAAGAGCGATTTCTGGTGCTGATTGCAGAAATTATTAAAAAGCAAGACTAGAACAAGACATTGAGAAGAACGGCGATGTATGCATTTACTTATGCATAAAAACAGATCAAATCTGACTAATTCCCGTTTGTCGAACTCTAAAGTTGTAAAGACGGTAAATGTTTTGAATTCGCCTACCTCGCTTGACAGGATCAAAGGGCAATGGCAATTGCAGTTGCCGATAGCACCGAGGTTCACTTCCCAGGCCCCATTCGGCAGCCTGCCGGAGTGATGTGATTGCGTTGCTCATAGCAAGCATTCCTAGGCGGCACCTTTCGGGTGCACACTCCAGATCGCCATCCTTCAGTGGAGTTACGATACGTCCTCGAGTCCCCTTGCTTACAGGGAACGCTGTGTCAGCAGCCACACCGGTACCTGGAACTGTAATGCGAACATCGGCTAGCTTCTCCTGTAAGGCGAAGCTCATCTTGCCGTCATTCCATGAACCTGGACAGTTGAGCTTCGCCAAAATTAGAGTGCCGTCGCAACCGTAGCATAATGTCCCCGTTATGAGTACTGAATGCAGCCAACCTATAAAAACAAAGTCATTAAAAACAAAAGCAAAATGTTAACATCGCCTCCATACACTTAACATTGTAGTGTGCATTTTGTAAGTCAACATCCGATGACTCTTGAACTCGATAGTTTTTCCCATCGACAAACCCCCATACGCCAGAAACCAAAGGCTCATGGGCTTGTACAGCTTTTGACCATTCCAGTTGTGTATTATTTGTGGGATAGCGAATAGATGCGTCAGGAAGTGCATTTAGAGCTAGCTCAAGCGCCACTTCAGCCGTAGCTAGAATATTTGATAGCGTAGCAGGTGGAACTCCAAATATCTCGCACAAAGTCTTCATTTCCACAGCACTTTTGTAGAAATGTAGTACACAACCGAGCACAGCATGAAGAAAGCGTAGCTTGGGAGGACGGCCTTGTCTTCTAGGACGCCACTTCAACTTGTAGAACTTGGAGAACTCTGCAAGGAGCACCTTAAATGAAGCGGGGGGAAGTGAAACAGCCGCCACAAAGCTACCAGGATGGCCTTCATTGTAGAGCCGCTGCCACGCCGAGTTCGTAGGGTCACACAGACTCGCCACAGTAAGATAGATCCTCTCCTTGATAGTGCAGCTAAGGAGGTGCAGTAGCAGAATCTTCCGGTAGCGACGCTTGTAGGCAGCCTTCCTCACACTAAGTAACGTGCTCCCTTTCATCGGAAGCTTCACCACCAAGGTTTTGCCAGTAGCACTATTTTACGAGCTTTTATTTTTTAGATTTGTAACACAAATATCAGCGCAAATGTAGGGTAGGTGATCATATTTCTGATAGCAAATTGCTACAGAATCGTCATTTGCGTCATTTTCTGTAGGCCTCCATATTTTTTCAGATCTCTGGATCTGACAAGTAAAATGCATACTTAGTCTTCGACTGAAACACCATAACGCCGACGACAGGAAGCATAATACGTTGTTAGCTTGGTATTTTTGTTTTGTCTTTTCTCTATGGATGTATTTTAAATCTTATCAAAATATTATACTGATACGATTTTGTGGTTCCACTTCGTCCATATCCAAGCACCACAAATAGTTAAATAGCTGTTTGGCTGCCAAAAAACGATTTGCTCCTTCTCTTTTTTTTAAGATACGAGTGTGAGGCAAGTTGTTTAGCAATATTGATACAAGCGTTGGAAACGTCTCCCGAAGTTGCTCTTCTTTGCTAAGTGTGGACTCCAGTGATGTCCATCTTGTGCAGCACTCACGTGTTCCAAGTGGCCAGGCGAACATTTTTAGACCTTTTCTAAATCTGAAACAGGAAAAATTAGACAGTGCAGAAACGAGCCGGTTCAATTCCCGCATCCATTCCACCCTGATACGCACAGCTGGCGCGCGCCATTCGCCAACACGCATCGGACACCTCAAGCGTTCTGTGTCGATTAACCGCAGCCCATGGCGGACGCTCTGCAAAGTATGCACGTGCTACTTGGCTCCATGTGCTTCTTCGCGCTGGTTTTCCAATTCGCCAACCGCCTGTCGGATCGCTACGTCAAAGTATACCGGGACTTCTCTATCCCGGAGCAGGGTGACTGGTGCTCGCGGTACGACGTCTTTGTGTGCTTCTTATGCTATCTCGATGTAATATCCTAACTTGGGGCTATCCTTTCACAGAGTGAACTCGACGATTCATGCACTAGTGATCGCCACGGGCATGACCTACAGCTTCATGCAGCAGCAGTGGGATGCCGACCTATTACCGACTAAGGAGGCACCTATGGAGCTGGCCACCATACTCTTCTCCTTCTGTACGTAGCATTTAACAGTATCCACGGTGCTCTCTCTTGCTGACGGGGTTCTATTACAGCTTGCGGTTATTTCCTGTTCGATCTGTTCGTGCTCGTACTGTGGCAAGTTCCGCTCTGGAGAGTCTTTGTCATCCATCACATCGTGGCCGCGTATGTCATCTGACGTCGTTTTTATAGTATTTATCGATATTAATTATGATATTTGATTGCAGGCTGCCTTATATGATCTACACTACGCATGCTGGCTGCGGTATGGACCTGTACTTGTTGCAGCTCTTCCTCATGGTCGAGTTCGCCGTTATCCCCCTCAACATCACCACCTTCATGGAGCAGTTGGGCTACGGCAAGAGTAAGACCCACGAGTTCTTTTTCTACATGACGTACGTGTTTTGGTTCGTGGCGCGTGTCCTGCTGCCCATCTACAACGTCTACGTGCTCTGGACCAAGATCATCCCGGACGCCGGAGCCGCACCCCTGTGCACTGTGCCGGCAGCTTTCTGCGGCCACATCATCGCCGCGTTTTGCATCGGCGTATTCATCTTTGTATGGACGCCTGACGTCTTGGCTAAGTGGCGAGTGCCTGTGCTGCAGATGGAAGAGTACCCGGACTACAAGCTGACGATGCGCCAGTCGATGACGCCCCGCTCGAATCCGATCTTCACTCCGACCGCCGGGAATGACAAGTGGGGAACGAATTACGGCTCTGTGTCGGGCAATACTCGAGAACCCCAATGGACTTCTAAGTCGATCGTGTGAGCAGCGATAAGCCCATGCTGCACGCTTCGAACGTGCGTAGTGGACGTCCTCCTCAATGATGAAGCTTCAGTGCTAGATATGTGTAATTTAGTGGATGGAGGCAGCTCTTTAGTGCCCCTCGTGTGGTGTTACCAGCTGAACCTGGCAAGCTCGTGTCCGGCTGCAATTATCGCGGCCGCGCATCAAACTTCCCACTGTTTTTCTGAAAACGAATCCACATCGAGTCACTACCCAACCCGTACCAACACTATCTATGCTTCTGGTAGTCATTCAACCGTCTTTGGCTTCGCCTTGGCTCTCGATTTCTTCGGCAGGATGATTAATGAAGCACTGGTGATAATGATGGCTGCTCCAATGACGCTGTACGTGCTAACGTGTTCCCCGAGTAATGCGATGTCCCAGAACAGCACAAACACGACGTCGAGATAGCGCATGACGGATGCAATGCCTGCACTGGACTGCTGGAAGCCCATTGTCAAGAACACCTGGCCGACAAATGCAAAGAAGCCGCTACCGAACAGCGCGACCACCAGACTTGAGTCTGTGGGCAAGGAGAAACCCTGGCAATATAGCACAAGCACCAAGGTTATTTACTACTTAATGCTCAACAAACGATACTGCTTATGACCTACCACATCGAAATACCACAGCGTAGCGAGTGCGTAGAGCAGCCCAAAGAGCAGGAAGTAGTAGTTAATAATCGCATAGTTTAGCTTCTTCAGCTGGCGCATCGTAATATACGAGGAAGCTTGCATTATAGAGCCACCGAGTGCACAAATAATCGCAAGCGGCGGTATTTCCTTGGTCTCATCCGTTCCAAACAAGAACGCTGGTCTTGTGACGAACGTGACACCGACGTAGGACGCCAAGCAACTGATAAAGTCCAGACGCTCAATCGCTTCGCCCAATACTAACGCGCCCTATATGCACCACCAATATTAGAGAAAGTATTATCTCATCACGCAGTTCTTCACTGAGCGCTCACCAGTATAAAGGTCACAATTGGACTCGTGAAGATCAACACCACGGCGTCCGTTAGCACCATCTGCGCCATTGCGTAGAACTGAATGCTAATGCCAAAAGTACCGAAGAAACAGCGCCAGAAGAGCATATTTCGATGCTTCGGAGCTACCATCAGCTTGACGTTCCTGCGGTAGACGAGCACCAAGTTGAGCAGCCACGCCACAACGGACCGCCACAGCACCGTTTCGTGTGATGTCACGTGGCGACTCGCGTACTTGACACACACGCGCATGAGACTTAAGTTGAAGGCGGCAACGGCGATGTAGCCCAAAGCAAGCGTTCGCGGTGAGTGCCACGTCCTGACTCCTCCGTATTGGGTGGATTCAGCAGGTTTGACAAGCGATGGACTCGTCTCATTGGCGCTTTGAGCCTTGTTGGCGACGCCCTCGTCGTCACCCGCCACTAGTACGCCGATGAAGGGCCCCAGGGTGGCTGCAGGATTGGTCGGCGTACTCATGATGGAAATGTCACGCTTGGCTGAGCAATGAGATGCTTGTAATACATGCAGCATGACACCGTGTCCTAGACACGCGCACGATGAAAGCTGAACTTTTTGACCTGTAAAAGTGGATGAAGCAGATTGAGTTGGTCAGTATCATGATCTTGGTTGATGAGTACTGTTGTTATGAATATCCTTTCAGTTCGTATTCAATTCATTTGGATTATGTAGGAGAGGTAGCTTCTTGTGTTGAAGAGGGCAGCTCACTTCTTGGTGGAAGCTTGGCGCATCACGATGACGGAGGCGCCGCTTATAATGATGGCGGCTCCGACCACGCTGTAGAGATTAACAGTTTCGCCGAGCACCAGTGCGTCCAAACACATGACGAACACCACATCAAAGTAGCGCATGACGGACGCGATCCCAGCCTTGACGGTCTGAAATCCTTTGGTGAGGAACCACTGCCCCACTATAGAGAAGAAGGCGCATCCAAAGATGGAGAATAGGAATCCTGGCTCTGTCGGTAGCTCGAGTTTCTGCATAGCAAAAAATAAGGATTTAGTCCCATAGATGCTCAATACAACTACTTGACAGTGTAAAGCGTACCACCCCGAGTGCCCAAGCGACTAAAATCGAGTAGAAGGACCCAAATATGAGGAAGTAATGAATCACGAGCAGATTGTCGAGGTCCTTCATCTTTCGCATCGCGATGTATACAATGGCTTGTGATAGGGACGAACCCATGGCGCAAATAATGGCGAGCAGCGGCGCGCTGCCGCCTGACACTTGCGAAGGGAACAAGATCACCGGCCTCGTGACAAACAGAACCCCGATAAAAGACGTGAGTCCACCAACGAAGTCCACGTAGTCGATTGTTTCTCCAAGAACTACAGCCGCCTGGGGATACATACACGATAATAGGTTGTTAGGATACGAACGAAACTTCATCTGCTTTTGCATATCACACCAAGAAGAAGGTGAAGATTGGTGACGTGAATATGATGACGATGGCGTCAGTTAGTGGCATGTTCGACATGGCGTAGAACGACAGTGTAGTGCCCACCGTCCCGACCAAGCAGCGACAAAAGAGAATGAAGCGGTCCTTCCGCTCTACAAACAAGTTGGTCTTCTTGTACTGAATCCACACCTGCAGTGACAAACATGGTTAAATACTTGCTGCAACGTCTGCGGAAGCAGAAACAACAATGACGAACGTACCCAGTTCAGGGCAAGACCGATCACCATGCGCCAAAGCACGATGATGTGGGAGTTGGCGTAGTGACTGGCTTGCTTCACGCAGACCGAGACGATACTGAAGGTGAACGCCGCAATGATGATATGCCCCAGTCCTCCTATCTTTCCAAAGCACCAGGAACCGCCAGTTCTCGACGGAAGGACGATGGTTGCACTCTCACTCTCATCACTCTTCGAGATTTCATCGCTGGAGCTGTCAAGTTTCAGCAATGGAAAATCATCTCGACTGGTCTCGTCACCCTTCTTCGTTTCAGGAGAATTTGTGACTTTCTTAACAGGATTTGCATCGAGCTCCTTAAGTTGGGGAGGTAATGGGGTCACCGCTGCCCGTCCGCGTGAGCTGCTGTGAGAAAACATGCGTACTGTCGAGTAGTCCTCACTTGTTAGTTGATTGTCGAAGGCACCTTCGACTAGGTATATGTGCAGTGGCGGATAATTCGGAAGTGATCCCTGGCTGGTATTGCGGAGGGATTAGCGCTACCAACCTTAGCAGACACAGCGAAAGTTTCGGTGATGAAGAATTTCGAAATCCATTTCGATAAGATTTAGCGTAGGAGTCGTCTTCATATCCATTAGTTGTCCATCCAACCCACAAACGGCTTAAACACCGAATCCTCACAACCAGCCCAAGATCGTGCGTGTACTACTGCATTGCATTAGGAGTGATGGAAAAACGCTCACTTCAACCGTCCCAACGATCTTATCGGCACGACGGAGAATTAGCACAACGAAATCCACAAAAACAACACAACGCCGAAAATGTGACAAGCGCAGCAACATGAATGAGCGCGTATTTCTGCTGTTGAATCATCAAACACACAACATGTAAATGAAATCAGATCTGCTCTTATTTAGAACGTGCATGAGATCGCTGTCCTGCTTAACCTGATGCTTTGGGGGGAAAAAAATTAAAAATGTGTAATTCGAATTACTATCCTTTTTCAACTAGATGGTATTTCGAAGTAGTTTATTCAATCTTGGTTCTATTCCCCGAGGCGGGATGTCTACTGCTTCTCACGAGCACGACGCAGAACAATCATCGAAACGCCAACCATGATGATTCCAGCTCCGAGGAGGCTCAGAACGTTTACATTCTCGCCCAAAATCAGCACATCCATGGCAACGACGAAGACCACGTCGAAGTATCGCATGACCGATGCGATTCCTGCTTGTTCGAGCTGGAAACCCTTAGTCATGAAAACCTGTCCGATGAAGGAAAAGAAGCCACTGCCGAAGAGTGCGAATAGAAAAGCTGGCTCGAGAGGAACCGTCATTTTCTACAGCGTTTCAACAATCATGATTATTATCAATCATCACAGCAAGAGCAATGCAGACAGTAGCAAGACCAGGATAACTTACCACTCCCAGGATCAAGAGTGTCATGATCGACGTGATTGTTCCGAACACGAAAAAGTAGTGGATAGCGACGAGCGTGTCCACTTTGCTTAGTCGCCGGAGTAGAATGTAGACTACAGCCGATGTCACTGAACCGCCAATAGCACAATATACAGCAAGTGGTGGCACCTCCTTCGTGACATTATTGGCTGGAAACAGGAATGCAGGTCTCGTCACGAACATGACTCCAAGGAAAGACGTGATTCCTGCTAGAAGATCGATCTGGTTGATCTTCTCTCCAAGAAAAGCGGCACCCTACCAATGCATGGGGATACCCAGTTAGTACCGTCTGAAAGTACGACACATTTAAGATATGCATTTACCAAAAAGAAAGTGAAGATCGGGCTGGTCAAAATGATCACAGTTGCGTCCGTCAGCACCATCTTCGACATTGCGTAGAACTGAATGTTGACACCTATTGTTCCCACAATACAGCGGAACAGCAGAAGACCACGATATTTGGGTTCCACAACAAGCTTCCGTTTCTTATAGCGAGCCCAGACCTGCATTTTTAACATAGTGTGAGTATTTTTTTTCCATATTCACAAGCAGATGACTCACGTAATTGAGCACAAGCGCGATGGTCATGCGCCAAAAGACCGTTTCGTGTGACGTTGCTCGATGGCTCGCGTATTTGATGCAGATCGAGGCGATACTGAAGTTTAACCCAGCAAAGACGATGAAGCCGAGGCCTTTTGCTCGCTTCATACTCAGCAAACCCACGCTCTTGACTGGAGCCAAGGAATCGTCGATATCGCTCGTGGAGACTGGGTTGTCTGAACTTGTTGCTTTCAACAGGGGTTGATTGTCATTGTCGAGGTCATTGGCAAGTTTTGCTTTCGGCTCAGGATTGTTACGAGGGGCATCGGGTGGAAGTGGTTGCACTGCGGTAGATCGATTACCGGTCAGAGCCATCTTCTGAGTTTGGTAGTCGTGGCGAAATTGATTCTGAAGTGGTCGATGCGCGAAGGAAGTGCAACAACTGTCGATGAATAGCGACTATTTTCAGTTAGGCAGCAGTTCTTCCTATCGGCAAGTTGAGATGACCACAACGTCTAATGCATCTCAGACCTATTCGTGGCATGTTAATCAGTTGCTCGGTTTCTTTTTTGCAGTAACTCCTGCTAATAGTACGAATTCCAGCTACTAAATAGTAACGTTTGTTGTTCTTATGCAGCGTCATTTTGGATATGCAAACTAATATTTGAAATCCGTTTCTGAATGATCAGGGGTCCGGTCAAAGTGGCCCTTCAAGATGGATCTTAAAAATCATTTTTGTCTTGTCAAGCGTAGCGCGGGGGATCAGTTGAGATTCCGCACAACTCAGGTAGGATTATGAGCTGGAAGAAGGTCGATTTCAAGGGCAGCGACAGTGCTGATCGGCTGCAACGCATCCAGGCTTTATGCTCCTCATCAGATCCCAAGCTTGACGGAATTCTGATCATCGGAGGAGTTGATAGCTTCCACTCGCAGGTATCTCAGGCAGCTCTGAAATATCTTTTTCTTGGCAACTCGGGTCAAGAACTGCTTGGTGAGCAGGTGATCCTGCAGGAACACGAACGTCTAGAAGACGTGGTTCTACTCATCTGTCCACAGCGAGTATTCATCCACTACTCGTCCGAGAGCGACGCAGCAATAAAAATCCTCCCCATCATCTCCAAGTGGCGGCATGTGACCGAGTATGTTGTTCAAGACGGGATGGAACCAGACGAACTGGAGGAACGCAAAATTAGTGCCTTTAAGAACATGATGACGGGTATCAAATCTGTGGGTGTACCTTTTGGAACCGACCAAAACGGTAGCAATCTACAAGACACGATGTTACCTGAAAAGTGGCCTCTGGTTCAATCGTACGGACTCGAGGGTGGCGAATCCAATGGTAAAGGATTCTTCACTATGAACCACCGAGTGGTCAACGTTTCTCAAGAACTGATACAGATTATGGCACAACTCGACGCGTTTAGTGCTAAGCGTGTTGTGCTGGAGAGTCAACCGTTCTTAGCGCACCACTTTGATGAGTTTCTGATGAAACTAGACCATGAATCGTCTGGTGTGCGTAGCTCCAAGTCGGAGAGTGATTTGGGCGAAAATCTATTGAGCTTTTACGAGTTTGGAACGATGCAGTTTAGTGCTCGTGGACTGAAAACTGCACCGAACAGAGGTAGTCGAGTGTTGTTTGGAGTAAGGTCGAGCTCGTTAACAGAGAAGCCATCTTCCAAGGCATTTATCGCGAATTCGGGGGTGAAGGAAGGTATTCCTGCGACGCACATGGTCGTACAGGCTGAAGATCCCTTCACAGGCGTACGATTCGCTCGCACTTATTTCTTGTCCTCGGGAAAAGTTTGCGATAAAGTTGTCGATGAGGACGCGTTGGTATCTTCTCCTACTCAGTCAAACTCTGTTTTCAAGACTGCGGTGGATACAAAGACGATGATCGAAATGTATGCGCTGCTTCTTCGTGGCTTTAAAACGGGAGCTGCTGAATTAGTTCGTGAGTGTATGGACGGCAAGCTAGCGTCACTTGATCGGTGTATTGAATACGCTCGCGCCGAAGCCATCCACACAATAGTCCAAACAGATAAGGTCGAGTCTCAGATGCTAGGATCGAATAAGTTTCCAACCAAATTCATTGATGCCCAGCTAAAAGTGACGGCTGAAATCATGGATGCCCGAGGGCAGCCCGTTGACTCCCTCACCGAAGGTATGTATCTCTAAGTATTTGTTATTAAAGGTACCTCACTTACCTTGTGTCGCTGTACAGACTGGTGTCTTTTGTACTGTTCCATGACGCTGGCGAATATCCCCAGTGATGCTAATCCAGCACTTCCGCTAGGTTCACTTGTAGTTGGAGATACCTTTTTGTTCCATGGCCGAGACGATCGTGGTATATCAGAGCGTGATACAAAGCGAGTTCTTCACGTCACTAAGCCTTTTGCGAACTTCCGCTCGTGGATTCAAAGTGGCGAGGAAGCTGATGCTGTCGACTTGTTAATGCGAACGCTTCAGTCTGAATTTATACTGCAGAGTCGTTCCGTGCGTCTGGGTAAGAGTATCGATTCCGATATCGAGGTAAACGACGAACTGGGGTCATCAATATCATCCAAAGCCACCCTCCTGTTCAACAGCGATTTCTTACCAATCGTTCATGGCAATTGGAGGGTTTTCACGGGTGGCTTTGTGTTCTCATGCCCGTATTTCAATCCGATCATTGTTTCGATCGAGCGAAGTGTCAAAAGTTTGGCCATCTTACCGTCATCTTACGAAGAACTTATGCTAGTGAAGATGGAACTCAAACCAGATGAGCACAGTCACTCGACACCGGTAAGCGAAAAAATATCTTGACTATTGTGTTGGTGTTATATGTGCTAAAACCGTTTTTGTACGCAGTTGTCGAACGCCATTCCGTTTGCTTTGGATTACCAAGCTCTTTACATTCCACTGCAGTCTGGTTCACGTTTCCAGGATGAGGTTTTTCGAGCTCTCGAGTCGTGGAAAGTCGCCGCTGCTGCGCTGAATGTTTCAATTTATCGCACTAGTGATTTAAGTGAAAAGCTTGAAGGCGACACACCACGGGACCGTGACAGCGCGAACTTCGAAGTACCGAATCACGTGAAATCAACGTGCGAGCAGCTAGTACTGAAACAAGCTTTTGTGGGTCAAGACGCTCGCACGGTTGATACGTTCTTCCCGCAAGATTTTATTCCAAAAGACCCCAACGCGGTCACCACGCTACCAAAACCGAACACAGAGGACCTCAGTAGATTGATCGTCCCAGTTACAATCATGCTGGGAATTCCAGGAAGCGGCGCGCAGGCGTTGGCTCTGTCGATTTGCAAGATTTCGTCCGCTAGTTTCGACTGGGTCACAGTAAATGTTGATCTTCGGAACTTGGAACCGGCCAGGCAACAGAAAATGGAGGCGTCCGGATATTTCGAAATCTCGGATAAACTAACTCGAGCACTGGGTCAGATCAAATCTACCGCCAAAAACTTGCGACTACCTTCTCGAATTATGCTGAGTATTGTTGGATATGTAGATCCGGTCACGGTGGTCTGTGCAGTTCGACGTGCAGCTATGGATTCCTCCCTTTCGAGTAAGATTGGTGCTGCTATCAACTGTGTGAATGCCACAAACGTTTACTTACCTGACCCACTATCCACTCAAGCACCATACCCCAAAGTTTTCGACCAAATGACGGCTGGATTTGTGACCCACACAGTACTCACTAACAGTTCCGATGTGTCGTCAGCGGTTCTTCAGCGTCTACGCTTCCACATGAACCACGTGAATCCATTCGCCGACGTAATGGTTCTTTCCCATGACGTATTTGAGATGCCTCTCACTCCTTTACTTGCCGTGGATCGATTTGAAAGTGCCTATTACAAGCAGTACCGTAACGCCCACTTTCGAGACTGGGACTGTACTACGAGCAATAGTGCTGCTCCAATGTACACTCGATACGTGGCTGAATTGGAGCCTGCTCTTGCTCCTGTGAGCTACAGATTTGAGATCGTCCCTGGGATGGATCGATCGAAGTTTTCGTATTTGATTGCCAAGAGTTTGACACCGTTTGCAGTTATGGCAAAGACGATGGATCGGGTGTATCCGATGGAGAATAAAAGCACGAAAGGGATTCGTATTGCGCAGACTATCGCTGCCGAAAAAGTGCGTCGGGATGGCCAGACGTCTGCTGCTACTCCATACGCAGAAGGTGTTTTCTCAAACGGACAGTCGAGATCGTGCTGGTGTGTTGAAGGCCAAGTTGTATTCAAGGATGAGCTTAGTTGTGTGTACGAATACCGATCGTCTGGCACCTTTGCGAGGCTTTGGGTTGACGCGGATCACCTTA